GGAACACTGTGCTGCGAACTCGGCTGATAAAAAAACAAAACAAGGGTTTTAGAACAACCCCCATATAAGGATTATAAGTTATAAGCCTACCTGGACCTCTAAGGTTCAGGGTTTAGGGTGGCTGCGTGCAAGCTGGCAGTTGGCCTAGCAACAGACGCTTCTAAGCGCTGCACGGCGAAGTTGCTTGCCAGTAGAAATGGCTGGTCCCATTCCTGAGCGACCAATGGTCCGCCAGTGCCAGCAATGCCAGCACTTTGCTTTGCGTACGACACCTCTCCAGGTCCCAGACCAGGCAACGCTCCATTCTGCCTTCTTCCAGAATGGCATCCCTTACCTGCAAAAGCTGCACTGCTACAGCTCAAGGCGCATCAAACAAAATGCACTTCGTGGCCTCGAGGATAAAGTGGGCAAGCTGCATGCGGTCCACCTGTCGGGCAAGGTTTTTTGGCAAAGGAAATCTAACCCGGGTCACTTGCTGCGAAAAGATCGGCTGACAGTTACAAAACGTAGCAGCTGCCACCTGCAGAGGGTGGTCCACAGGCATTCTTGCTCGAATTTGGTCTTCACGGCTTTTCTCCACACCTCCATCGAGAGTGTCTCTTGACTCATCCATGCACTCATGAGCTTCAAGCAAGCCTGCAGGCAGATGAGATTGCAATGAGATCAGAGAGCAGTCCCCGCACACTTCAGCATGATCCACTGATCCACACACCGCTGAAGGGGAGGAGGAGGAGGGAGGGAACATGGGGGGCTGGATGCTGCAACTCAGGCCCGGATGAAACCAAAACAACAGGCAGCAGTCGACCGCTCTCTTCGCTAATTACGAGACAGCCGCATGCTCTCACAGAAGCTCACAGATGATGTTGCCCCAACATCAAGGTCTTTCGCGTCCAGCCTAGCAGCAGGTCCCCCCACCAGAAAGACATAATATACTTGCCTTCACCGTCTTGCTGAAGGTCCTGATGGCACTTTGTGATGAGGTCTCACATCACCAACAGGCTGGCAAGATTCAGGACTGGACAGCCTGCACAACAAGCTTCATCCAATCATAGTCAGGCGTTTCTGCACCTGACCACGCTAACAGGTAGTCAAGATTCCATAAGGCACGAGATTAGGCTTCCCGCGATTGCCAGATGCGTGAGTCTGCAGCATCTGTTGTGGCAAGATGTGGTCCTGTCTGGGAACCGAATGGCGCATGTGGGCAGCCAGGAACCGCCAAGCACCAGAGCTTGAGCCTCCGTGTCGAAAAAAATTTGGTCACGAAGGGGCAGATCACCATTCGCATACAGCAGCAGCTGAAGCCTTCAGGACAGCACTCTGAATTCCCAGCAACTGGCTCCAAACATCTCCAAACCATGCGCGAAGCCTTGCAAAGTACTCAGCGGCACAGCTGCGCCTGGCCAGCCACAGGCATTCTGGCCTTCTCAAGCCCCGCGATAAGATTTGATGAGACGCCTCGACGTGCACTGCACCCTTTCTCGCAAAGCTTGTGGAACTCCCTCCTGGCGCCATAAGTATTGACTTCACGGGGCTGCTGAAGGACATGGCCATTGAAAGCGCTGCATGCTCATACAAAGCTTAGGATCTCGCAGACTGCGCAGCAGAGTCCAGCTCAATCAACACCAGCCTCCAAGCCTCCCAAGAAAAAGTGTGGGTAGCTACATTCCGACATCCAAAAAAATTCTCTAGTCAGCAAAGGCACACACTACCACTGGAACGAAGTTCAGCACGGCGGCTTTCTTTAACTAGCCTACCATGTGCAACCCACTGGAAAAGCAGATCTGCGGCCTCATCATCGAAGCCCATAGCTCTTTGCAAAGATGGTAGCACAGTCGCAGCTGGCCAAGGAGCCCAAAGGTTGTCCAAGCTCTCTCACTGCGTAAACGAAAACAGCTCCATGCTGGGCAGGCTGCCTGGTGAGCCTGCGGTGGAGTCGGCTAGTAGGTCCTCACCAGGTGCTAAACTGCAACAAATTGCAACGCTGCACGCTCATTGCCAAACCTGTTTCCCGATTGCAAACCCCAGTCCATGCGTTGCTGCAGCTTTGCCAACACCTCTCCGCTGCTTCCGTGTAGAAATTGGAGATCTGTAATGCATGGCAAATGCTTGAATCGCATGTGAAGCGCACCTGTAGCAGCGGCCACTGAGAAAGCCAGGCCTCCATCGCAGCAAGCACAGCTTAAAGTAGTGCCGCCGTGCAATAAGCGGCCACACTCCTCCGTGCCCATGACGACATCACCGACTTGTTGGGCCACTGTCAACACCTCACACCGGGAGATGTGAAAAGCAAAAGGTATCCCCGGCATGTTGCACTTGCCTCATACCTCCGTTCTTCAGATTTCTTGAGCTACTTCTTACCATTATGATGGATAACATGTTTTAGTATTATTGTACCCATATTCTTACTATTATTTGCTCTTGTTATAATTACTATTTTCATTGTTGTTGCTATTGTTTTTCGTTTTCTGATTATTGCTATTACGTATTATTTCTGATGCTCGTTTTTGCTCGGTGACTTTGCCATGCCTCGGCTTGCGCCTCTGCGACAAACTCTGGCAGGAAACTCTCGCGGCTTGCACCTCAGAGGACAACATGCAAATAAAAGTAATAATAATAATACAAATAATAGTAATAGTAAAAAAAAAAGTAATGGTAATAACATCTAACAACTGTAGTCAGTCGTAAAGATAAATTGCCTTCAGGGGAAACTTTAGTGAGGGTTTAAGTTCAGGTGAAGCCAGGCTGCTGAAACGTCTGTACGCTGTGGTCAGCAAGCCTGCAGCCCGAGCCAAGGGGCAAGGCAAGGTTCGCTCGCCCCCGCTGACCAGGGGGGAGCACCAAAGCAGGAAGGAGGGTGATGTGAGCTCAGCAAGGGGCAGTTCGTCAAGCAGCTTGGGGTCGCCGCCAACCGTCGCACCGATGCAGTCAGGCAAGTTGCTGCAGTATTCCAGAACCTCTGAAGAAGCTGCAAAAAGTGAACTGTCTGCAGCCTCCGTGCTTGGGTCGCCTGCATATTGCGTCCAGTAGCAATTCTGGCCAGGAATCGTAGCCACGTTGACATGCTGTTCGTGAAGGCCTGCCAACGCCTCTTCTGCAAGAGCAGATTGCACGGTTGCATTTCCCCTCCAAACATCCGCATCCAGATGTCGCCAAAGGCTCCCAATCAATTCTCGAGCTTGCTTGGTAGCGCCCACTTCTCCCGCATCGCACTGGGAGTGTAGCGTAATGGCCCTTCGCTGAGCTGATCTGCCATGAGTTGTGAGATCTGCTCCGAAGCCATCCAAGAAAGGCGATGCCCACCTGGACAGCAGCGCCAAAAGTTTGAAGACCGGCCAACCGCTCTGCAGGATCTGGATCCAAGGAGCCTCAATGGCCGATGTCACAAGTGTTGTTGCCATATCCGGCACCTCCGCAGGTCGCCCCATCTGCTGCGTAGCAACAAACAGCAAGCGAACCACAAGTAGGCCTGAATGGCATGTTGTCCACTCCTGCCCTTGCCGCCACGGAAGTCGCACCTCCGGGTCAAACACCTCGCCTGGTAGTTGAAGCTCCTTGGCCTGCTCTCGCACTGAATCCAGAAAGGGCACGTCGCCTTGCGTGTTTACGAAGCTGAGGCGGCCAGAGTAGCGCGGCATATGCTCCTTTACATCTGTGCGAATGCTTTCCCAGATTTCGACTTCTCGCGTGCCGCATGGCAGGTCGTAGTGGTTGGGCACAAAGTCTACATGTTCCACGGGGAGCCGCGCAGGTTCCGCGATTTCTTGGGATGTTCCCAGCACTGTCAAGCAGAATGTCAGAAGCCATGTCTGAGACATCAGCCTTGCCACGCATCCGCACCATCACGTGTGAAGGCTGCAACTCGCTCAGCGCATGTCTGTGCGAGTCACTGAGTCAGTCTAGAAAGCATGACTCTTGGCATGCTAGTGGGCTTGCCTCAATTATCCGCGAGACTGCTGGTAGATTCCTGAGTTTGGCCTACCCGTCATGCGTTCTCTAACGCTTGCGCTGCCCATCCTGTCCTGTGAGTGACACCAAGCAGGCAGGGTTATGATTTTGGAAATGGATCTGGGCGGCCTCTTCCTTTCAGTAAAGCACAACACACACCCAACATCAGATTAATGCAGACATTGCAGACTTGCCTCAAACGACTCCTTACGGACCATGACCAGGCAGCCCTCAGAGACGTGGCTTGCTTTGAGTGAGCAGCGCAGATGATACCTGAAATCGCTTGACAGCTCACAAGTGTTGCAGAAACGAACAATCGACCTCTCGCCGAACAATGGCTGGAAGAACTTCAGGTATGTGAAATAAGTGCATTCCTGTCGACATCTGAAAATCGCTCGTTCATGAGAGCTTCAGCATGCGCGTACCGAGTCTCCTGGAGGAAGACGACATCGCCGTCTAATCGCTGAATCTCTCTGCCTGGTGAAGCGTCGAGGCCGCAGAACACTGAAGCTCTGACAGACCTGCCTAGCAGAGGTTGTCGATACGCATAGTCCAATATTTGAGATGGGCAGTATGGGTACCTTGAAACACTGTCCAGCTCAGGCATGTGAAAACTGTATAGCTTCCCCCCAGGGATACATAATTTGTGTCGCCAACTGAGTTCTTGCGTAGGGAACTGCGAGGATGTTGAAACTCACCTGGCTCCAGGAGCCTTGCACCCCACTTTTGGGATGCAAGCAGTCAGGATGAGTCATACTAAGGCTACTAAGGAACCAACCACTCTGATGGTGGAGGGGTTCGCAGCTCTTTTGCCAAAGGCCTGAACTCTTTGTTCGGGCCATCCTCGGGGAACCTACAGTGCATCGCACATGTGGACACTACACAGAATTTCACAAAGCTTCTGGCCGCTGGCCTCCTCCACAACTCCAACGCGCACAGAACCTTTGGAGCGCCTTGGTGTCAAGACCGCTTCTTCAAGGCCTTGTGACAGGCTCTGGGACTGCCACGAGGTACTGGGAACGCTCGGGTCAGGCTCGGCTTCCAGGTGCAGAGTCCGCCCTTTAGCAGCCTGCTTCAAACAAGCTGTGCTATGATCCTAGGTCCTATACTATAATGGAAAAGAAAATGGAAACTACCATAGGGTTTAGGGGATTATATCGGGGATATATAGGGATAATGGAAAAGAAAATGGAAGCTGATCACTATAGTATAACCCAATCAATATATGTATATATACATATATACGTATATATGGAGGGTGCGACCGCGTGGAGGGCTTGTTTTCTCGAGTAAACGTGCTTTGCTTGCCAATTTTACATGATTTTGACGATTTCCATATTTGGGAAGATATCCAGATTTTAGGTAAGATGTCTATCGGACATGGGGATTCAGGGATAAGGCCTGCAGATATACATATATATATATGTACATATATATATATATATACATACAGAAAGGGATATATATCTATATATAGACGAGGCTGAAGCCCCAGAGCCTCAGGCACCCAAAGGATATTGCCACGACCAACTTGCACGTTCCCGGAGGCGCCAGCTGCAACCTGTGAATGTGTCGAGCGGCTTAGAGTCCCCCTCAAGTAGATAGAATGTGGGATATATGGGGTTCTTATTATAATATTCCCCAAAGCCATATTCTATCTACTCAAGGGGGGCGATATATACATCACAGCAAATCACATATGATGTGATATGAGACAGAAAGGCCTCCTAAGAGCTTGCTACAAGATACTACAAGGTGACGAGGCTAGCCAGGCCTGCGTAAGCCAACGCAGCCTCGGCTGCATTCCCAAAACTTAGAAGTCAACAAAGCGCAGGAATCTAAGGGCACCACGTGAAAGCTGACGCATCACAGAACTCACACCGGAGTATCGCCTGATGCGCTGTTCCAGTGCTGCATGAGATCCCGCAGTACAACCTAGTGCAACAACCCATCGCAGCGCACCCCATCAACATCTCAATTGAGGCACAGGCAGATAATGGACAGCCAGCCAGCGCGCGGCCAAACACCTTTTTACAGCTGGGATGTATGAGACTAAGTCACAAAAATCGGTCGCAGATCTGCACCCTTTTTCTTACCAGGAGAATGGCGCCACACAGCTGCGCAACAGCTGCACAGCCGTTGCACAGCAATTGCTGGAACTTCGCGGCGAATTCAACTTAAGTTCCTCGACTGCGCAGGACCTGCGCGTCTCGGGTGATCCTTCGATCTACTGCGACAGCAAAAGTTGGTCAATAGTTCAATCAGGCTTGCGGTGCCTCAGGAGTTTCTTCGCTGCCGGCAGCATGCACAAATTTCTGTTCAGGAGCCTAGGCCCTAGCTAGGCTGAAGCTGACAAAGTAGCTACACTCGAGGACTTTGGCATTTGCTTCGGGGAGGGTGGGACTTCGGTGGCGCCTTTCAGCTGGTTCAGGGGTGTCACCGAACTCCCGCCACATCGTTTTGGCACGGTCGCGTGCTAAGATGCTCTCCTGGATCATGTCCATTCCACTAGTGCACAAGGCTTGGCATAACACACATGACGAGAGGCTGCTTTAGATTGCCTTGGTTTATAAACGAAAGTGCAGGTAGAAGTGTCATGACTCCACTCATGGACCTGACCAGGAAATTTGGGCCATGTGACAGGGCCAGCACCTGCTCTGCAATGCAAGGCTGCTCCCGATCCCTCTCAAAAAGGACTGTCGTCTGAGCTCATCTTCGGAGCCGGTGCACATTGCTTTTTGTTACATTTTGCTTACAGGACAGTTCCTGAAAAGGACGTGGCAGCCCAAGAAGCTGAATCCTAAAAAACTAGTTTGCACCCATCATCTCCAGGGCAGTCCGACACCTCAGATGCTTGTGACCTCAGATGCAATAGTGCATGACTGATGTTATCCTTGATCTGACGCAGATGCGATTTGACTTCTTGATGATCCTGAGCTCATCTGCCGAATGCGACCCGGGCCGAGCAGCTTGAGGCCTTCAAAAATTAAGGTTTCATGTCTCACGCTAGCAAGGGCACACAAAGGCCAAAGTCTTTAGGCAGGTGCTTCCTCGGAGCGCGGGAAGGCGGGTGGGCCACTGGGGCAGCAGCAGTGCCTGGCTGTTTGAAACTTTGAAATCGGAGGCTGAAATTGGACAAAGGACGGCCCAGGCGTACCCTGTGGTGGGAATCCACGCGCCGAAAGCCATTCCTGGTCTCTCACTACCTCGGGTCACGGCTTCTGCCTGAAGGACGACCCGTTGACAAGTAGTCTGCATTCTTACCCAACTGAGGCACGTGCGATCTCTTGATGTAGTCCGGCACACTCCGCATAGACTCTGTCC